TAAAAATCTAAAACCAATGTGTGTTGAGTTGCTTGACCAGTTTTCATTGTGGTCTCAGTAAATTAGTCAAATTTAAGGGTAGATGTTTTAAAGGGATTCTACTCATGAAGAGTTCCCCAAGCTAGCAGAAGCTTTAGTTGATTTCTTGCGAGGAGGCATGGGAGAGGAATTTAAGTATGATTTGGTTACTTCGGAGGAAGTCTGCAATCGGGTCCAGATGGACGGTCGCGCCTGAAGAGCTTTTGGCAGTTCAATCAAACACTGTTGGTGTTTGAAGTTGGAGGTAGACAGTTTTTGGAGGTAAGTAGCAGATGCTAATTTCGAGGAGGCTGTAGGGGTTGGACTGGAGTTACTGTGTTCATATGGTATTGGGATTGGAAAGTGGATCAGGATAGGATGTAGAGCACTCTCCAAGTTTCTCAGGTTTGTGGTGAGTGTTGGGTGGACTATAGGAAGATTTTAGCATGACATTGGGTGTAGTAATCCTTTATGACCTCCTTCCCATCTCTACTTTGGGTTGCTATTGATATACATGTGCTTGTTTTGGGGTACGTTAGATTTACAGTGGGAGACATAGGGGTTGGACTGGAGTTACTGTGTTCATATGGTATTGGGATTGGAAAGTGGATCAGGATAGGATGTAGAGCACTCTCCAAGTTTCTCAGGTTTGTGGTGAGTGTTGGGTTGACTATAGGAAGATTTTAGCATGACATTGGGTGTAGTAATCCTTTATGACCTCCTTCCCATCTCTACTTTGGGTTGCTATTTATATACATGTGCTTGTTTTGGGGTACGTTAGATTTACATTGGGAGACATAGTATGGGAGAGTCAGGTTTTCTGGCATTTCAAGACATGGGTGTAGAGTCTATGGATGTCTATTGAAGACAGCATGATTTCCTGCTGGACAGAGATGGGAGGATTCTTTAATATGGAGTTGTTCTAAGAATGGTCAGTCATGGTGAAATTATATTGACATTTGTGGCAGGAATAGGATTGGCTTTTCTAGTTTTCTAGTAGGACATTTGGAAAGTCAAAAGTGCCTTCCAAGGTGTCATTCTTTGATTAGTCAGCAGCTTTGGAGGTGATTTTGATGCTGGATTGTCTGGTATTTATGTGTAGGAAGGCGGAAGAAACCACCAATCACCTACTTCTACACTTCAAGGTGGTGAGGGATATGTGGAGTATGTTGCTCTCTCTCTCTCTCTCTGTGTGTCTGGGATTTGTGTAATTTCATGGTCAGCTAAGTTGCATATCTTTTGGCTGTGGTTGTGCCAGGGTAAGGATTTGAAAGGCTTGGCATGCTTTCTAACCTTGATCTTTTGTGGAGGACCACTAGAAGTTAATTTATAGGTTGAAGCATGTGAATTCTCTACTGTTTTAGATTTCTGGAAATTTTACAGGCTTGGTTCATATTTTCATCGACTTTGTAGGTCATGAGTTATATAGAAAGAATCTTAGATATTGCTCCTGTATACCTCGCATGTACATGGGCTCCACCCTCTTTTGTTGGGTGCTGTTTATAATTTAATTCAATCTTACTATCAAAAAGAAGAAAAGGACAAGACCTATGACAATATCTTACAACTTTCTATAAATATAAATTGTTAGGCTTAACAAAAATATAAATTTTTTGAGGCAGTTAAAAAATAAAGGTCATACATAATTCTTGGAAGATTTTTTGGCTTGCAGAATGCTAAATCAAATAGATTTACGCAACCTGCAACATGGAAACACTAAATTGAATATGCCTTATAAATTTTAAAGCATGTTATAACCGAGAAGAAGGAAGTAGTTTTTGATTGGTCTTTCTTGTTGAAGTGTCCATAGACAACCTATTGCTGAGACACATCTAATACAACTGTAATTTAGTGAACTTTGTGCATCAGAGTTGCTTATACGTATAATAACACGAAAGTTACCTGCATTCCTTGTTTCTGATGTCACTCATCAAATAGATTTCATCCAAGTTATGCTTCACTTCCTAAATGTTGTATTGCTACCTGGTCTGGTTGCCACTGTGAAAAATAATTGTTATGGTCATATTTCACAGGACACTTTGGCCTGTTGTCTTTCTAAAATAGCATGATATTATTTGTTGAGCTCTTTAAAATATAGAAATTGAAGCCAAACAACACAGCTGAGTGGTTGGTCCAGCATGCCTTAACATTGAGTTTGCAATGTGATATTTGTTGTCATATACACTTTTTGTATCCATCTTCTTTGTTAGTGATCCCACTCTTATTAACCAAAGAATCTCATTGATTAATTTCATACCGCGCTTCTTAATTTGAACACTTTCTCCTGAGGTGTAATTTTGTATATTGACACTCTTATTCTTTTATGATTAATCTGTTTTGATATAATCTCTTAGTGATGTTGTGGCCCAAATTTTATTTCGGACCGGGTCGTGCTGCAACCCGGTTTCGGCTTCTCTCTCCCCCTTCTCCCTCTTGCGGGTCACGGACCTTGTTATATAAGGGTGTTTAGGGTTTGGAGTGGGATAAACGAGAGAACACTGAAAATTGCAGGAAAGAGAGTGAGAGTGAGAGTGAGAGTGAGAGCTAGGGTTTGGGGGCTGAAACTTGTAATCTACTGATTTTTCAAATAGTGAAATCTTTTGTAGGATCTTCACTGTGGATGTAGGCTTGCTTTCAAGCCAAACCACGTGTGGCGTGTTTGGTTTTCTGTCGTGATTCGTGATTTGTTCTTAGTTTGTTGTGTTTGTTTTTAACACTATTTGATTAGTTTCTTACTATTTGCATTCATTTAATTTTATTTTCCTGATTATTATGCAGTTCTTTGACATTGCTTTACAAATTTCTTCTGATTCCTACCACCAGGAAAAAGTTTACATTTCTTTCTTGTATCCTTGCAGCTATCTCCCGGAAGAGATGAGAAATCCGTCTACCTTTAAATGTCAGTTCCTTCTTCACACTTCTTTCCTTAGGGAAGTAGGGGCTTGATTTTATTTTCATTTGTGTGTGTGTGTGTGTGTGTGTCTCTCTCTCTCTCTCTCTATATATATATATATATATATATATCACCTTGGAATCAGTGCTGGAAACTATATGGCAGAAAACTAGTATACTGCAATTTTTTATAATTACGAAAGCAACAATTTTATAACTCTTTGTTTAGGCCAATGGGTGTCTTATGAAAGGACTTCTAATACCTAATCACTTTTTAGCTTTTATATATATATATATATATATATATATATATCTGATCATTGTTTATTTTTTTACTCCTTCCATCCCAAAATAAGTGTCATGCTTTCCTTTTTTGTCTGTCCCAAAATAAATGTCAACTTTCCTTTTTTAAACAGTATATTTCACATATTTCCATATATGTCCTTTTAGTTTTATATATCAAACTTGAATATTCAAAACTTAAAAGGGCAATTTAGTAACTTTCTAGGGAGACAATGCATGTCCCACATGTTCTCTTAAAAATTACTACTCTCCAAACACGACACTTAAAAGTGGGACGGAGGGAGTAATTTCTTCAACTTTGTATATTTATTTTGCACAATGCAATATCTTATCACATTTTTATTTTTATTTCTATTTATTCATTACTTGCGCTTTGTGTTGAGAGCACGCGTTTCCTTGGCTTCATTGGTCTCATTATGTCACTATCATGGTTTACTTCGTTTAGGTTTTGTGATTAGCAGCGGTTCACCTTTTATGAACTAATACCTCATGCTTGCCAAACATAACATGCAAGTGTCATAGTAGATCAGCAATTGTAGCATCTCTGAACCTGTGTTTTTTATTTTCTAACAGGGATGCTACAGAATCCACAATACCGCCAACAACTAGAAGACATGCTGTAAGTATCATTTTCCACGTTATTTGAATTGATGCATAGATTTATTAGGCATTTTGGTCTCAGTTATTGGTCGATATATGTTATCTTTTTGTATCATAATTGGATTTCCTATTAGATGTTTCCAACAGGTATAGTTTATACTTCATTTCTTATCTCATAGTTGATGATGCTTATGATGTGCCTTTTGCTATTGTTGTTTCATCACTTAATATAATGTGCAGAAATCTGAAACTGGTTTTTTATTATACTTGACATTTGTACATGTGAGTTTAGTTGTATCTCGACCATTATGTTAGGTGCTACTAATTACATATAGCTTCTGATAGTGTTCATTATGAATGTTCCCAACTTGAAGTCAGGAGCCTAAAGAAAGCACTGTTCTGCTTCCGTGTTATTCTTGTATTGTTTTTTATTTGTACTTTTTTTCATATCTGATCCCTGGTTATCTTAGCTAGGATAGTTTCACCAATTACGCAATAGAGTAGTTCATTTAAGTAATAGAGGTAGCAGAAATACATTTGGGATTAATATCAAGTAGCCCGAGGGATGAGCCTCTCCATCTATATGTAGTATAGTTGTTTATGTCGCAGAAGGTCCCAGCCCTCCAGATTCTACCAATCAGTCGGATCTGGGTTTGGTCAATTATTTCTTCTATGCGACCTTCTGAGTGCCTTAGTTCAGGTATGGATTCCCTCTACTAATTCATTTAGCTCTATGTCGATTTAGCAAAGACACATTAACCACTGAATACCTTTCTCACTAATGGGGCTACGAACAATATAATATATATATATATTTTCTCTATTCTTTGATTGTTGAACAAGCTCATTCGTTGCCATAAGTCAGTGTCCTTTCATAGATTCAGAAGAATCTTTCTAATGCACAAGCTCTAGTGAAATGATCGAGATACCCATGGGCCAATAGAATTGTTGCTTATGTAAGAACTAGTGGAAATATATTTCGTTGTGCATCATTACTGGCACTTCAGGACTCCGAAACTCATTTGGAATTGCACAACCCGAGCAAGTAACAGATTGGGAAAAAATCATGGACTCTTATCTTTGATGGTTCTCGTACTCACGACCTCTGACAGAGAGAATCTCCATACTTGGCCTGAGAGAGATCCCTTCTGCTAGGAACATTGTCCGCCTTAGAAGTAATTTTCTTTTACTTCTCTTATTTAACACTTAATATAGTGAGTATCATTTCTTTTGATATTTTCTGTCAGCTTAGTATAACTCTATTATTTTGGTGTGCCATACTGCTCAACGTGCTTAATAAGGTATCACAGTGTCCCCTTCTATTATTATTATTTTTTTCCGCTCCCCTAGCCGTTAGATTAAGTTGTGTCTTCTCCACTCTCAAAAGCGGGAGGTGCTGGATTAAAATCCTGAGGGGAACATGTGTGTTACCTATAACAATAAAGTTATTTATTTTTTATGTCAGCCTTGTGATGCCAGTTCCCGATGTCAACTATCCACATCAGAACTTGATACAGACTGCTATATTCTTGGACTTGTTTCTTTTATGTTCTAATGTTTTGTTGTTGAGGTCCTATTTTTCTGCTTCCATATGTTTGTAAGGTTGCAATTTTGTTGTTGTTGTAAGAGGCATTGCTAATGATAGGCCTGTCAATGATTAATGTTTTTTTCTCATATTTCTTAATATGTATATGTTATATTTTCAGAAATAACATGGGGGGAAGCACTGAATGGGACAGCCATATGATGGATTCCTTGAAAAATTTTGATCTTAGCAGTCCTGAGGTCAAGCAGCAGTTCGGTGAGTTTAAAGTGAATAGTGAACAAATGACAGTTTATCCTGATATCAAATTGTTCTCCTGGCTTCCATTCTGTAAGATTAAATTATTAATTAGCAGTTATGCATTTAGGTAAATAATTAGACCTGTTTCCCCGACTTAGATTCTCTATAGTTTTTAATACACAGATGTTACCTACATTCTTTTTCTACATGGTCCTCACAACAAATTCATGATGCCTCCAGTATGCTTCACTAATGCGTCCTGAAATTTGTCCTTTTTCTGCACTTCCTGTTATGTACCTGTTATCCTAATTCCAATATATGTTCAGTTAACTGATAAGAAGACGTATGCAATATAGATTAGCCAGTACAAATTGTAAAACTTTGTTGATATAACAAAACTTTGCTGAAGTTTTTCATTAGTGAAGAGGTCTACAAGGTCGTGGAAGGAAATTAGGTTTGAAAATAAAAGGTATTGGTGAGATGCCTGTAAACAAGGTAAAGATAGAAAGAGCCAGGATTGTTTCCAAAAAGTTTCTTGTTTTTTACAATTTAATCTGCTTCATTTTCCTATTTGTTTGCCAGCTTTCTTGGACCTTGTTAAATAGGTGATTTTCATTTCCTTTCCATAATTAGCGATTGCTGATATCTCTATTTGTCCAGAATTTCCAGATCAAAATGACAAAATCAAATAATTTTATTTAATGCTCTGTACTAGACAATGCAACTTTATATACACCAGGGGCTTCTGTATCTGTTTGGCAAGAGAAATAAATGTCTGAATTGCTGGTTTCCAATATATTTATAAGTTCTTTGCCACCATCTTCTTTTATCATCCTCCTCCCAGAAATCTGTTGAGCCATTAATATTCTTCAAGAGGTTCTCCATTGATTTAACCTTAGTAATGTGAGGACGGCTGCTGATATTGTGCCTTACATGGAAAGTCACTCATGAATATGATTATGGAATTATGCAAGTGTCACATGGACGAATTAAAATCTTTGAAGCACTTGTGTTTGGCACTGCACACTCTCGCTTGTTAGCAAGCTTGCAAATGACAGCCTGTAATATTTACCTTTAATTCACTCAGTTGTTGTATTATTATTTTTTACATTATATATTTGCAGATCAAATTGGGCTTACACCTGAAGAAGTTATTTCAAAAATTATGGCCAATCCTGATGTTGCCATGGCATTTCAAAATCCTAGAGTTCAAGCAGCCATAATGGAGGTATGACCTTCTTTGTGTACTTGCATTATTTTAAGAAATCTCTCTGTTTAACACATTATTATTTTGCAGTGTTCTCAGAACCCTTTGAGTATTGCAAAGTATCAAAATGATAAGGAGGTACAACTCAAATTTTATTCTAGTCATGCTTTGTTGCCACTAAGTTTTTTGCATCTCACGATCAATTGGTTGAGAAAAGAAGTGGAAAAAATTAAATCACTTGTGTCATCTTGGCCTAATCCTAAATCAATTTATATATATATATATATATATATATATATGTTCTTAAAAAATATCGCTGAGCAACGTCATTTAGCTTAGCAGCGAAGTTGATAGAGCTTCTGCTTTCCTTGAGAGAGATTACTCAGGCACTCGATCTCTCTTCCATGTTACTTCTATTGCCCGAGGTTTTACTGCTTCTGCTATTGCTCATCAAGTTCCATATTCGAAGTAATTTCATATTGTATTTATTTCTATCTCAGGTTATGGATGTTTTCAATAAAATATCAGAACTCTTTCCCGGGGTGACAGGTTCATCTTGATTCCCTTAGTTATCGCACAGGTGCAGTTTTAGGAGGTGGATATGCTCTTTCTTTCCAGTTAGTTTGGTTATTAAGATTGCAAAGTGGCAGATTAAGCACATATCTGCTCTTTAATGGCCATGTTTATTGAGATGATTATAGCTCCGTGTCATGCATAAAGAAGCCTACAAATTCAAGACCAGCATTCAGAATGATACGAGTTAAAATCTTCATCAGCCTTGCCATATTATGTCAATGTTCACATAGAATTGGTCTTTAGCTTTTGAGATTTGGTTTTTGCAAGTTGTCAGCAATTAAAAATGTTGTTGATCTCTTTTACTTTTGGAGTAACAAACTAGTACAGGCATCATAGATTTCATAAAATGGTAAATTTTCTTTTTTCTTAAAATGTTCCCTTCTCTCTCTTTCTCATCATATTATTGGATCCTTGATTTTGCCTATATACATTGACGATTGAGATAATTCGTGCCGGTGCCTACCTTATTGCTGTCATTCTGGCATTGGTGAAGTTATTTCTGAATGCTTGCATGTCTTTCAACTTAAAATGCTATTTCTGGGATATTTTGGTGATCATTTTCTACTTCCCATCACTTTGGCATTTGGAAGGTTTTACTGGATTTGCAAATGAGCAATATATGATTACTTTGGATCATGGTTTAGCTTACTGATGTAAGACACAAAAATTATGTTATTGTACATTTTCATTGTGGTACCTTTCCCCCAATAGTCTTTTGTTTTCTCAATCAACAACTTTTGAACCATAATATGTCCTCAGTGAGTGAGTGATTCAGTCGCAAGATTTGATGTCTCAATTCTATCAAGAAAAAATGTATTTCGGAGGGCTTCGTTGATTCATGTAATCTTGTGGAGTGCATACCGATCTCGTGTTCATCTCATCTGAACCAAATTCTATGGTTGGTGTTTGGGACGGGGTTGGATGGATATATATATATATATATATATAAATCTGGCTCTTGGTTATCTGTTTGCTCACCACTTTGCTTGTAACAAAATTCTTGCTAATATTGTCAACAAATACAACTTTTTAGTTATGTGCATAAAGAATACCCAAATGACACCAAGGTTTCTCATTTGTTATGTTTTATTTTTCTTTCTTTGGGTGCAAAGTATTCTGAAGTGGACCCTTTGATGGGACCATATAAAACTTTCTGCCGAAAGGGTACCTTGAGATTTTTATATTTTTTGGTCATTAGGGTTGCAAATGAGCCGAGCCGAACTTTATCTTTCTCAGGCTCGGCTCGCCAGTGCCAAGAGAATGCTCGGGTTCAGGCGAGCTTGGTAAAACAAGGCTCTCGAGCTTGGCTCGCTAGCATTTTGGCAAGCTCGGGCTCGCCTTCAAACCACGCCCGAAAAAAAAAGCATTTTGGCAAGCTCGGGCTCGCGCCTTCAAACCACGCCCGAAAAAAATTTAAAAAAGTAAAAGGTAAATGAAAACTTTAGATCTATACAGTTCTGTGTTGAAAGATGGAAGAACATTGTTGCTTCTCTTTCGCTGACTATCAGTCTATCACCGATCATCTTCCTCTGTTCCCACCAACACGAAAATGGGATTGCGATGCTAATATCTGATAGAGACCATCGTTGACGAGCTAGAAAAGAAGGGATGTTGTTTTGAAATCTGAAAGGGATTAGAGTAGTGATGTTGCAAGATCTGTTGCGGCTGCCTATAATTAAGGTTTCATCAGATTTCAGAGGTCTATTGGAGACGGCCGCTGGCTAGCAAGAAAGACAAAGCAAACGACAGCTTTCGTCATAAATAGAGTGAACTTGATCAGGCAAATCCAACGGCTTATAAGAAGACATGTATGAGATGTTTGGTATACAATAGGTTAAGTGGAGTTGGGCCAAAAGTTAAATGAAGTTGCTATGAAGTTGGGGCTGGATTTTAATTATAATGGGCTAAACAATTGTATATAAAATTTAAAAAGTTAGGCTTTTTACTAAACGAGTCTGTTCACGAGCCTAACGAGGTGAGCTGAGCTGAGCCCAACTCAGTTCATTTGCAACCCTAATTAATTGGCATGAAATAAACACAAACCTCCTTTCTTTTCTTTTTCCTTCCTTTTTCCTTCTTTTCTTTTTCCTTTTTTCTTTTCTTTTTCTTTCCTTTTTCCTTTCTTTCTTGAATATATGCACCATTTGTAGATATATAAAATCTTCAAAGTTCTTTATGCAAAATTTTGAAGCATATGGAGACTATGGTGCACATCTGCAACAGCATAGTGCTAGCTCTAGTGCTCTTTTTATTTTAGGTTTTAGAACATAAATCTACAGTATAAGGTGCAACCAACATCACCTGCAACAAGGCATTATTTAAACTGATACTACACTAATTTTTGGATTTAGGTCAATATTTTATGTCACTTAAAATACATTAAATGTTGTAATCTTATGTGGTCCCTATTAATTGATGATGTTAAAAAAAGACCGACCAAGTTTAGAGCAGATGTTTAACATTATTAGTAATATAGTCTAAAGTAATTGTGGTCAGTCAATATGTCCTTAGACTAGCATTGTTGATTAAAAAAAATAAAAATTGAAGACCAGATTTGACTAACCAAGGTTAATTGAAAAGACAAGTATTACAATTTGATATTGACTGCAAGAATTGAACAAGCTAGACATGGTCTTTGTTTTTACTTCCATGTTTTCTATGACGATATGTATATGGAATCCGTAAAAAGGACTTTAATTTCCATGGTAAACGGAAATGGAATTTTGTTTCTCACAAAACATAATCACAAGTTTAATTCAACTCGAGCGAAAGTCAAGCACCACAAAATATTTGGTCAAAAAGGAGAGAGAGTAATTGGTCTAACTAAACCAAAAACCTATATGATATGATCCGATATATTCGTTGAGTGTTCGAATCTTATTAAGAATAATATTGTAAGTGAGCACTAGGAGTGGTAAATTACAATACAACCTGTCAATACGACACGAGATAAGTGAGTTTAGGTTGACTTTAAATAGGTTTGGGTCATAAACGGGTTGACACGATTAACCCATTTATTTAATCGTGTCAGGTTAGAGTTGATGAAATTCAACACGTGTAAGTTGTTTATATCCGTTCAACTCAACATGTCATAATAATGAATATGACATATGTTATCTGTTTAAACCCAATTACTATGGACAGTTAAGTCGTTAAAACCTTGACTACTCTTTATGATTTTTATTCTTATTTTGAATATTTGGATTAATTGTGACAAACTTTTTTCTATTTATTATTTGATTGAATATTAAATGTTCATTTCGATACATAGATCAAGTTAACCCGTTTAATAAATAATTCAGAGTAGTGTTGAGGGTTCCTGACATGATTATTAAATGGGTCGGGTTTAAGTTTAACTATTTAGTAAAATACCCTTACATCAATACGACATGCTTATGATCCTCAAACATAAATTGCTACCCCTAATGAGCGCTGCTTACGTGTTTACTTGAATTTTTGAAAATAAATTATTTAAAATTCATGAGTCTATCTTATTCATTGGATAGGCGATTTTAATGAGAATTTTATCCTAGAATCCATATTGAGTAAGAGTAGTGATATTTAGGCCGCTTAGTTAGACTTCAATGTGAAACAATTATGACCATTGATCATCTAAAGTCACGATAGTGTGATTTGGGTGGGCGCAGAAAAAATAAAAATAAAAATAAAATAAATAAAATTGTTTAATGACTCTGAGAAGGGCCTACTAAGGTGGTTGAGAAAATTGCTTACAAGAATTGTAGCTAAATGGATCCAACTTGCACCAAAATAGCACCAAATTTTAGGTACTAGTTGTATAATATTTGCACAAATGATTATTAATTTACACGAAATGGTTGGTTATTGTCACATTCGGGTCTATGTCTTTAGACTAACGTGAGCTAAAATTGTCATCTCTCTCTTAGATTTATATGTATATATACTTTTTCATTTATAGGTATATGCTCTTAGGGTTGGAGGTCACATTGTCAATAAAGAACCATCATATATGAGTACTGGAAAAGACAAGTGTATTGCAAAATTGATTTGAACTTTTTGGAATTCACTATGACATGCTATTAGTTTTTGCTTTCTTTTTCTCATTTATGTGGAATCTAGAAAAGGATATTCGTTTCCACAGTATATGAAAAAAATGGAATTTTGTTTCTCGGTCACGATAAAAAAGGAAGAGTGAATTCAAGACCGAAAGCATAAAAATAAGAGTGTGTTCGAAATATGAGAGTGATGCTGATTAAAAAATGTTTATGTGACAGCTCACGTAAGAGGTGAATTTAATTGTTTTGAAAAATCATCAAAGCATTGAATTTTTTTTTTTCAATGTATCAAAGCCTTGAATTGAGTGACTAGTTTTTCACTTCTTCAAAGAAGAGGTTGAGAGCTAAAATTTCACTAGAGGAATGTGTCCAAAAAAATAAAAAATAAAAAATAAAAAGAACATCAGTGAAAAAGAAAAAGGAAAAAAAAATGGAAGCATCAAAGAAATGCTTTGTACATTCGTGATACAATGATTGTCGAATCTCTTCTATAGAGTAAAATTGATTTTTAAGAAATTCACTATACAAACAGGATTCTTTTTTGTTCATTTTTGTAACGTGTCCGTCATCTATCTAATGTAATAAATTTAAACTCATAATGTAATAATTATGTAAATGTGTTAATTTTTTAATTTAGTAGTATTATAACATTGCAACACGATGTAATATATTGTATTTTTAATATAAATATATGTACATAATTGTTTTTTTTTTTAAGTTATTGTGTGCGTGTTGTATTTTGTGATGCATTTGTGTTACAATGTGATATAAATATAGTAGTAATTCATTAAATATAGTAGTAATTCATTTGATAATTTTTTTTTTTTCAAAAATTCATTTGATAACTTTAAGAAGGTTCTGAAATTACTTTGAAGTAAAAAAATTATTTAAATACAAGATTACAAGAAAGGTAGCCATGTGGTTGAGAAAATTGCGTCTTCAAATTTGCCTTATTGGATAAATGTTGAATTATCAACACCAAAATAACATAATAAATACATTTCATTCCCGCCTTTCATTTAGGGGTGGCAAAATGGGTCAGGAACTATCAACCCGCTCATATTCGCCTACTATTTAGTGATTATGGGTAAATCATATTTAATTTGAAGGTCAAAATGGGTTGGGTAATTTTTAACCACTTGATTTGAGAGCCAAGATGGGTTGAATGTGGTTAACCATATTCAACCCATCACAAAATAAACACATAATACACATCTATTCTTATATTGCACTCAACTCATTTCTCTCTCTAAAATTTTCACTCACAATCCTCTCTCTCTCTCTCTCTCTCTCTCTCTCTCTCTCTCTAAATTTGTCTCTTATCAATTCCCTCTTTCT